AGAGAGAGAGAGAGAGAGAGAGAGAGAGAGAGAGAGAGAGAGAAATAAAAGAGTCGACAGCTCCACCAGTTGCTTCTATGTATAATATGTGCATGTCTGCCAGAAATCAACACTCTGTTTGTTGTATTCGGAATACATTTTATGTGAAGATCACATTATGAACATGTACAGTACTTTTGCAAGAGTGAAAGCCTTAGCTGGATTCTGGTAATGTAAATATGAGAAATAACAATCGCTGTCATTACTACCATGCCCGTCAACATGTTCTAAAATCCTTTGCTGTACTGTCTGTGTGTGTGTTTTGTATATAGAATATTACGAAATCCACGCTGTCTATACGCTGCCGTCTCTGCCTATCTGTTAGACAGTTCTACTGAACGACCACATGAACTAAGACTTTTCTTGTGCGTGCTCCGTGTGAGTAAGCGTTTGTGAAGACTAGAAGGAACTTTATGTACATAAGATCATCAAGATCTGTGCACGAACGAGTGAGGGAGAGAAACAGAGAGAGAGAGAGAGAGAGAGAGAGAGAGAGAGAGAGAGAGAGAGAGAGAGATACTTTGAGCGTGTAAGAGGTAAGAGAAAACCAAAAGCAGATCGAGAACAAGATGAAAAATAAAAAAGAGAAAGGAAGAGAAAATGGAGGGGGAGGAGCACACACACACACAGAATATAAATACACACATACATAAACACGAAAAACACGGGATATCCCCAGGTAGATTTAAAGAAAGCAGACATGCAGGAGATGGGGACCAGGGGTCGAGACGGTTTTTTGGGGTGGGCAGATAGGTAGATATTCGGTGATACTGTTGGTGATTTTATGTAGTCAGTGATACGGGCTGGCATCCAGGAAATACGACATTGGTAGATAGTCCTTCAGCGAGCTAGATACACCGATTGACAGAACAGTTATTATGAGACTAAGGTAAAAGAAAGCAGGGTAGAATTTCAATTTAGAATAAAACATACATTTTTAAAATAAAGGAATAATAATAATAATATTAATAATATAATATTGACGGAACAAATTACTTTAAAGCAGTGCCATATTCCCAAACTCTATGGGAAAAATGGGGGAGGGGTAGAGGAAAATAA